CAGCTCAAACGTGTTCTTAGGCGGCTATTATATAACAGGCATGTCTAAAAGATAAAAGTCAAAACAAAATTTACATCAATACCCTTTTGCACAACGAACTTATGGCTGTTGACCAAATACCGTGTAATAAGAAGTCCGTGTAGTCGGAGGATGTCGGATTTTTAGCTCCGTGTAGTATGGGAACCGTGTATCCAGAGTGCCGTGTAAAGCGAGGGCCTACTGTATATGATTTATTACTTGATTTTCAAGATGTTTTATTAATCAAGCATATAGTTTCTGTTGGTTTATTTTTTAGAAATAGTTTGTTGTTTTGTTACCTCATATGTATTTTGTTTTCCACTGCTTGTATTTTGACGTTGTGTTTTTTTTTTCTTTTTTTCGTACTTTTAATCTGCACGCACCACCCACCCAAAACACCGAACGCCATCAAATCAAAACTGTTCGATAAAATCATGGCTAAAAATCATCGACGTCTCGAAACATATATCATTGACCACAATGAATTCGTGATACTGAATATCGGTCCGACTGCCAAATCTGCAGCCAAGGGAAGAACAAACATCGAATTGAGAGAACAGTTCATTTTGGCCGATGGAGTGTCGCAGACGATGGCCGCATTCAAGTCGAAGCCGCATTCGGCTCAACAGAGCCCGGGGTCGGCGTCGCCTGTTTACCGAGGCTCGCCAGGACCTATCACGAAGGTTGGAATTAATAATTCACCAGAAAGCCGAAAATCGTATTAACAATCTCATAAATCATACATGAACTATAAGTCAATTTGTTTAATGGTTTATATGGCAAAATTACAGTACACCACGAAATCCTTAAGCGATCCTTCGAGAGGAAACATCAATTTTTTTAGCACTCATCTTCGGTCTTGGAATATTGTGTTACTTGAGTATTTTTTATATTTTGTGTAATATCTAATCACATTTTTTTAACAATCTATTAATTATTTCAACTTAAACCTTAAACATTTTACATACATATATATATTTTTTTTGGTCTGCTCTTAGACTATTTTTTAGCTCTGCGTCGTTTACTTTGCCCATATAAAACATTTAACCAACCAAATTACTTTCATACGTATATTTTCATAAGTTAAATTAAATCCTAACGTTTCCTCGAAGGAAATCGTTATCACACGTTTATATAAATGATATAGTAAACTTCTTAAAATACTTGAATCCTTAATTGCGCAATTTTTTGCTATTTTGGCAAAAAATATCTCGTCAAACATATAAAAATTAATTTTACAACTTGGGGTAAGTGTTTCACTTTGGATGTATGCATTAACATGTTGTACAGCTGAGTTGTTTATATTTTTGATAATCACAATTTAGCAGATATTTAAGGTAAGTTTTGCTAGAATTATTATTAAATTTGCACTGCCAAGGAAGCACTACAATCGTAAGTATCGCACTCATAAATCGCATGCTTAGTGAAAGTTGTTTGCATTGCTTTGTACAAAACCATTTTTAAATAATTATTTGAAAATTGTAATATATTCGTAAACAAATTTTGTAATCGCATGTTGTCACAGGTCGAAAATAAAATAATATTGAATTTTAAAATAACATAAACATAACAGATTATCAACATTATTCATTCAATTGTTCGGGTTTGTCACAATTTTAACTATTGTAAGATCAATTTAAAATTAATAACATTTTTGCGCAATCTCACTTTTGTAACCAAAACATAAGTTTAATAACATCTCGAGGGGTTTAACTTCACACGTTCAAATTAGCAATTAATAAAAATAATGCTATAAAAAATCTAATTGCCATTTTGTGCTATATTTGTTGATTCAATACATATTTATTCAAGTAATAGAAAAAAATATAAGCCAAGTTTAAAAATGCAACTCATATCATTATAAGCTTTATTGAAAATGCTTTTGGTGTTTACACTTTACTTATCATGTATATTTGATTGCCAGATTTTTATAATATTATTAAATAAAAATTTCATCTTGCTTATATTTCTCTGCCTTTTCTGCATATTTAAGTATATTCATTATTTATCAACAAACATAACACAAATGGCTATAAATCTGACTAAACATTACGTCGGCAAGCAAAACGCTTTGCGTAATGCCAAATCATAAAAATTCGATCTCTCAATTCGGTTCTGCTTTTTTAACAACCGCGTGCAGCCGAAGAATTGATGGGTGAACTGATGCCTTGTTCGAGCAGTTGCGAGCCAGGCAACAGGTGCCTTGTGCCTATCCCCTGCACATGGGAGCAGGCGGATCGGCTTTCATCAGGCCGTACAATTACAGTACGACGTCTGCACAATCTCCTTACTCCCTGAACACGGTATGTATCGAAGAAGTTGAGGGCCAGGTCAGGTGATAATTGGATGTTGATTAATTGAGATGGAATGAAAGTGGAAGAATGATTGGCTACTTTTTAAATTTTTAATGCAAACAACAATTTTGGGTAAAACTTTTACATTATGTAACTTTTCAGTAATAAGATTCATAGTAATGGTTGTCTGGTTTCTTGAGCGTTTTGTTCAAGCGAAATTAATTTATTTTCATATATATTGAAATCTGTATAAATGCTGGCGTAGGTTCATAAATATATCGAAATTTGATTTGAATTATTAATAGCTAGAAAATTAAATAAAATATAAACGATAAGGTGCCCCAAACAATATTTATTTAATAATATATATTGGTGTTAGAATAAGTAGTTTAGCAAATATTTTTTGAAGTTTACTATACAACGTTAATCTTTGTTTTCAATATTTCAACATATTTCAATACGTATTGCTCATTATATATTTTACATTTCATTTAAAAAATAAGATTTTTTAATATTTAATATTTTATTTTATAAAATAAATTTATAACATAACTTTAATTTGCTTAGAATTTAATATACGCAAAAATTATATTGTTTTTTTTCATTATTTAATTTTTTTTTTTCAATTTTTTCTCCAGTATCATTTTGACTTCATAATTTAATGTATATGTTTGAATTAGGTACGGGAACGTTCACAAAGAAGTGTAGCCATGGGTAAAACCAGGAAGTCTTCTCTATCAGCTGGAACACCAGACAGTTTGTCCGATAATGAAGGATCGTTGTCCAACAGCTTGAGCTATGGAGGTTCTCGTTCACACCAAGACAACAACAACACAACTTCTGGGATCAGGTAATAAGGAGGAATTATTATTTTTAACTTCTGATAAATCCCAATGTGTGATCGTAATTGATGTATAAGCAAAACTACATTGCAACAGCTATCACCCAATTCGATTTTGATAAGTTTCTTTGGATGTTCATCTGCTGATGTCATATTAGTGTTTATTATAGACTTAGCTATTTGAATTTTCTAATACGATGAATGCATCACATTATTGTTTGAATTTTTCTTTATGGTGCTTCAAATTTATTGCAGATCAACAACTTTGACACCAGGAGGTTCCCGTGGCGGATCTAAACCAAATTCACGTCCAGTTAGTCGTGCAGGCTCCAAACCACCATCCCGTCACGGATCCGATTTATCACTTGATAGCACTGGTAAGACATATTTCAGACATATTATGGTTTCAAAAATCTCATTGAAGACTTCTACTCTCAACAATAGCCAATTGTGTTACTTAGTTATTTATTATTTACTTATTTACTTATTTTATTATTATTTTAGATGGAACACCATCGCGTATACCAATGCGCAGGAAAATAAGTGAACACCACCACAACACCTAGACCATCCAGATTATCTGTAGGAATGGAAGCAAGCACCAGGTTGTCTACCAGCAGACTCGTACACCCAGCGGCAGCGGACTGAACACCACCCACAATGTCGAGGTCATAATCTTTGATACTTAATAAAAATGCTTTTAATTTAAATCACTATTACATAATATATTACAACAAATCGAAATAATAATAATGTTCACCTGGTAATGGCCATGGATGTATCAAGCTATACTTTCAAAAGCTTTTTCTTTGCAACAATACAATATTCTAAATATCACTTAATGCTCAAATATTTTATAGCTTTAAGAATATTCTATATGCATTCTCTAAACAAAACATGCTTCAATTTAAATTTATTATTATTATCCAAAATTCAATTACTTAAATCTTTTAACTGCTTAAAGCACCGTTAAGAGGTAACACCACTATAACATTTGAGGTGGATTTTAAAAATATTTATTTCAAAATTCAACATGGTGTTTCTCTTTTAGAATCATTTTATGTCATTTTGTTTGATAATCTTAAAATATACCATTCAATAACAACTTTTAACCATTCATGACTACAATAACAGATCTGGTGGAATGAGTCGTGCTTCAAGTATACCGACGTTAACAGCTTCCATCAACAGGTAAATAATAGTATATGCAATTATAATTATTTTTACACCTGTAATATATTATTATATTTTATATTCTTTGGTTAACTAGTACTTTACTTGATTATATTTCTACTCATTGTCAGTGGTTTTAGTAGATTATGTCAATTCGAAATTCTCAAAATTTATTTAATACCAATTAGGATGTATTCACCACATTTTTCAGCAAGTTTAGTTAATTATTGATACACTCAATCAAAAAACATTTATTATTTGAATATATTAAATTTAAATTATTTTTTTCATGGGATTTTTAAAAATCTTTTGAAGATCAGCTGTATCTTCATTTCTTTCAGTAACCTAACTAACGTTATTGTTAATAAATAGCACAAATGTATGATATTCTTTAATTTTCCTGTATTTATCTCTATTGTTTCTTTCTGCACTGATACTAATTTTTCTAATAACTTTCTATTTTCGCATGCAGCCAATCTAGGATTCCTGTTCCAGTACGACATCATAGCACGTCTGATCCTCCGGGGTAACGAACTGTTATATGTGTTCGTGTTTTTCGTTTTTGTGATTGTTTTCATAAATTTGTTTTGTTATCAATATAACAATTTCATTTTCACTTTTATATTCTTATATAATAACTTGCATACTTGTTTGAATGGTGTTAGAAGTTTTCTTTGGTGTCAGGGTGATATGTTTATAAAACAACTTTTCTACGAATTCATATTCGTTGTTCAATGTTCAGACTTACATATAAAGTTATATTTAAGACATATTATTAACAAGACACCAATAGTTACTTGTAGAATGAATACAACTTTGAAAATATTAGTTCTGGGACTCTTTAGTTAGTTATCTTTTCTGTATACATCCCTAGTATAGTTACTTATATATTTAATATTTTTAATACAGATATAAATAAAACATTTTCTGAAATAATTATAAAGATAATTCAGCGTGTTTGTGTGTTAGTTATGTGTTCAAACACATGTGCTCAGTTTTTGTGTTCATACATAGCTTGCCTATTATTATTTATTGCTTCATTTCATTTACGAAAATTAAATATTTGAAAATAAATGCGTATATTCATTTCAAGGGAAAGTACCCTTGCAATATAGGGATATATGTGGTATACCCTAAAATGATTGATTCCAGAGATTTTTTACATCCGACTTCATTTCTTGTTGCACTGTTGTCCCCATCATCAAGTGTTTTGTCTTCATGTGCCAAAATTATTCTATATTTTCCCAAATTTAATATTTTTTTATATTTTTATTAAACAGACGTAACGCCAGTGGAAGTACAACGCCAACTTCATCCCTCAGAAGGGGCGAAACGACCCCAGGGGGCAGTCAGCGCAATGTTTCCCTTTTCGAAACGACCGTCACGACAACCAGGAGCTCCGGTCAGACGCCATCCTCCGGAACCACGAACGGCCGCAGGAGACCCATTCCGATGGATCAGAGAGCCCCCTTCAGATAGATTAGTCAACCATACATTCGCTCTAGCCTTATAAGTAAATATAAACACAGCTTGAAAAGCTGACTTGAATTCAAAGCTTTATCTCTAAACTTGAAAATCGAAAAAAATTGCAATTAATAATAAGTCAGTATTTTTTAACTTATTTGTGTATTATTATTATGCAGTCAAACTGATATTTTATGTATCGATTGATACATAGCAAAATTAATTTTATGTTTTTAATAATAATTTATATTGTCATATTATTTTTAAGTGCTACTTAAACTTCGTACTGTCATAAGGAGTAATGTCTAAATTTAATTTAAAAAAAGACGAAAGGGACCATTTGTTTATTGTCTGAAGCTTATTTATGAATGACATTTAATATTGCAGCAAATGATCTGTTTATTTTAAGAGTATATGATTAATAGAATTATAACAAATTTTGTTTTTGTTTTGAAGAAGTTAATTCTTGCCAGTTAATATTGATTTTGCTAGAATATGTTAAGTTTTTATTTGTCCCACATGACCGTTTACTTATTTTAATTATACAAAAACAAGATCGTGTTCTGCAAGCTTTTGCAAATTTAGTTCATAATGAATATATATTTTGTCATCTAGGTTACACCAACTAATTTATTGATTTATTAACGTTATATAGATATATTATATGATTCAAATAATATATTAATAGATATATTTATTATTTTAGTATATTTACTAATATTTTATCAGCAGTCATTATTTTAATTTGCATTCGAATTATATTGTATAAATTGTAACTTTATAAAACGAATTCTGCCAAAACAATAGAATGTCGCCAGTTTTCTATTATTTTGGCGAGAATTGAATTCATTGCTAATTCTGTTGGTGATGACTATAAATTTTGTAAATTTTGTGAGTATTATTGCTTTATTTATGTAATCTAATATTATTGTATACTTGTAAATTATCTAATATTGTATTAAAACAACTAATTATAGAAATTAAACATTTTGCTTAATAAAAATATGATGATTTTTATTAATTGTTTAATATATAATCTTAATGGATAAAAAATTTGCTGATATGCTTACGTAATTTATTGATAAGTTGATTAATAAATAAAAGTTGTGAGTTTCATACCTGAGGATAAAGAACTTGTATAATTCTTTTTTCAAGTTCATATGCAAGATTGCTAGATTTTCATTATTGTTTTATTTATTTCAAGTATGATTCAACTTGACAAGTTTTTGCCAAGCTAATCAAAATGAAAACATGATTGAAACAAATGATTCATGTATACTTCAAATTCGTTTTCAAATCTTTAACATATAAGTTTGTAAGTTGATTTAATTACTATATTTTACATATATCAATATGGAAGAAGGACGTAGAGATCCCGGGTAAAAATGAGTTTTATAAAAACCATATTCATATTTTAAATTGTTATTCAATTCTTCCAAACTTGCAGCAACGCCGAGATGTCTGGCGGGAAAAGATTCGCTACATACATGAAAATTTATTACAAGACATTCATCATAATAATTGTTCCAATTATATTATCACCTTTAATATTTATGAATAAGATGGATCCGGTACGTCAGAGTTTTTAGCTATTCAAATTTTGCGGTTTTTATTTTGTCCTGTTGGTATCCATAATGTTTGTTCTTGTAGAAGTTCAATTGCATGTACGTGGTTATCCTCATGGCGGTTTATTGGACTACGGAAGTGATACCGATCAACGTAACGGCGCTTATACCAATTCCACTTTTTCCATTATTAGGTGTTTTGGTGAGAAAATATAATATTTTGTGTATTAATTAAGTTGAGCACATCATAGTTTATCATCGCATTGAGTGAGCTAGTAATTTTTGACGAAAATAATTACTAATGTGATATGAAACAAGATTGCGTTAAACGTTCAACTGAAACTTTTCGTCAAATGTCAATGGATACTAATGAACCTCTTGTTTTGAACCTGAAGAATTTATTTCATTTTCTCAACTCATTACACAATTTGCAAACATATATGCCGTAAAGACAAAATAATGTGAGTACATTAAAAATAAATTTAAACACATTATTATTTTCGCTACCACACATCGAAGTTCCACTTCTACTGCGCTGAGGTATCCTTGATATAATCATAACTTGCTTGTACTTCATTAATTTTGAAGGAATGTAAATTGTGCAACACATAGAAAATTATTGAGTATTCATTTCATTTAATAGGATACCAGGAGTGCATGTATGGAATATTTGACAGACACAAATATAATGTGTATAGGAAGCTTGGTGTTTACTATAGCAATAGAATATTGCAATTTGCACAATAGACTTGCTCTTCTGATCCTTAAAAGCATTGGCTGCAGTCACTATAAGTAAGTAACTTTAATAATACAACTAAATTTATTTACGGAATTAAATAAATAAATAAAAAGTAAATATATAAATTAACTAGATTTATTAACAATTTATAAATGTTGTCGAAAGATGTCAAACGCCATTTTGAACATATAAAAATCTAGAAACTATTGTCATATAATTGCAATGGAAACGATAGATTATATACAATAATATATAATTATACTAATATGATGAATATTACACATTATTTCAAATAATTATTTTAATTATTTTTTTTATTATTTATTAATAAATCTATTATTATTTTTAGGTTGCATGCAGGTTTTGCAGCGCTCACTTCGTTTGTATCGTTGTGGTTAACAAATATGGCTGCAACGGCTATGATGTGCCCAATAGTAATGGCAATTTTGACAGAATTGGAAAATGTAAGTTATTTTATGCTAATAAATGAGTTTTGCTTTAAATAAATGCGCAAAACAACTTGTGGTTTTATACTTAAATTCACTTAATTGTTGATTTGTACCACCAAGTATAATACTTACAAATATGTTCGCTTTAACGGAAACAAGAACACATGTTCATTTGAATGAATTATATTTATAAATTAAAAACGTATATATAATGTCATGTGTGCAAATAAATCAACGTTAATTAGCCACTATTTTACTAAACTATTCTGGAAAGTTTTGCTATTAAACTTCTAGAATCATTATGACATGAAATTGAACTATGTCAAAAGGAAAAACTTTGTATTTATATATTTTTAAATACAAACATTACACTGTAAACATAACATAATTATGTTACAACAACATAATTAATAATATTGTTATATATGTAATCAATTTATTCTCATTAATATCAATATTTCAATTTGTTCGCAGCAAGGCTTATCAACTGTATACGAAAACAGAATTTCCGTTGGTCCCAATGCAAATATCAATGACCAGAAATTAATTGATGAGTAAGAGAATATGTTTTTCATAAACTTATAAAAAAGTAGGTATAAGTGGCATTTTGCCTTAAGTCGAGTTGCATGAACTTTTAGGTACATGTACTTAATCGATAAAAATTGATATATTATATTCACTAAAAATTAACCAATGCGATTTGCAATTGAAATCTTTCAAACAGACCTATAATATATGTAGTTGTTTAAATTACAGTATCTTAGTATATCCCAGTATTTTTAGTTTTAATATTTTTAGATAAACGTTTATTTTTATTTTAGCCCTGTGCCGACAAAATTGACTGTAGCATATTATCTGACGTTGGCCTATGCATCTACTATTGGAGGTACAGGAACCTTGATTGGCACCGGGACAAATATGACCCTCAAGGGTATTTTCGAAAAGTTAGTGATGTTTCATGTTAAATATTAAAAAAGTTTTATGCTAATAGATATTTTTTCAAATTTTAGCATATATAGCGGTGTGGAACTAAGTTTTCCTCTATGGTTGATTGTATGGCTACCACCGATGGTGATAACAATAATATTCGTGGAATTGGGAATGCAAATTCAATATTTGGGATTGTTTAGGTAATTATTTCATAGTTTTAGCTAACCAAACCACTTTAATTGATTTTATGTAATGAAGTTCACTTGGGCATCTACTTACGTGCTTGCAATTGCTTATTAAAAAACAAATCTATTTACAAAAACTTTTCTTGCTGCGATTTATTTTTTTTTAACTATTTTAAAATGAAATCGTTAATCAATGGAGGAATAAATACATTTGATATTGTGATTTATGATAGTTTTTTATTTCAGGCCCAAAAGCAAAGACGCAAAAGTTGCAACCATTTCACCCGAGGCACAGCAATCCATACAAGAGGTGATAAACGCAAAATACAAGGAACTTGGCCCAATGACTTGCCACGAAATTACAATTCTAATTCTGTTTATTTTAATGGTTCTACTTTTCTTCTTCAGAAGTCCTGGATTTATGCCAGGATTCAGTGTGCTGTTTGTTAATAAGAATATACCGGCAGATCAGTAAGTTTATAAAACATATAAAGGATATGTTTAATCTTATTTGAATATATTTCAGTATTATAAAATTTAACTAGATGATTTTGTTTTATTTTGATATTTTTAGGCAAAAGAAATATCTGAAAGATGCTGCAGCTGTCGTATTGTTAATTATCTTGATGTTTATTCTGCCAAAAAAATGTGATTGCTTTAATTTTTGTCGAAGAAAGCCTGGTAAGAAATGAATAGCTTTCAAAAGTCGCTGACTAGAATAATATACTGCTACAAACTGAAATTGATATAACTATTTTTTAGACTACATTCCGGATAAAACTGGTCAGGCAGCTATTACCTGGAAATATATAAATAATAAATTACCATGGGGATTTGTTTTTTTGCTTGGTAATTTTATAACATTTGTACACAAAAGTTAATCATATTTTGAATTTAAAATTTATTTTTCAGGAAGCGGGTTTGTGTTAGCAAAAGCAGGAAAGGATTCTGGTATGAATGATTACATTGGTGGAAAACTGAATTACTTTTCTGGTTTGAATCCAATCCTTTTGATATTAGTCGTCATGATTTTTGTCAAATTTCTAACAGAGTTCATAACGAATATCGCTGTGGCCAGCCTCACATTGCCTATTCTAGCAGCTATGGTAATGATTGTAATGACGATGCATTTATCTTATATTTATGGGTTTTATTTTTTTAGAGTAGTAAAACGCTAAAGATTCATCCAATGAATTTGATGATGCCGGCAACTATAGCAAGTTCACACGCTTTTGCGTTGCCAGTAGGCACACCAGCTAATGCGATTATTAGGGAATATGCTTTTGTACCTACACCAAGAATGGTATTTTTTCAATTATTACTTTATTAAATGAACTGTTATTGAAACACATTTCTATATTTAAAAAATAACAATTAAGGACTATGTAATATTTTATTTATATTTGTTAACATGTTTATCATTAAATTTTTCAGATGATCGGTAGCTTGTGGCCTAGTTTTGTGAATTTGTTTGTAAATTGGCTACTTTTCATCTCATACGGAAAATTAGTATACCCTGAATTGAATACATTCCCAAGCTGGGCGAAACAGTGAGAATCTTTCAATCCATGAAATTTCTTTCAAAACAATTGAGTCATGCCGCAAGAATATACTTTTATCATTCGACGTTTTCACTTTGACTAGACTAATTTTGTCAATAGACATTAGTTATTGTTGTTAGCATTTATATTGATTAGCGATTGTTGAATTAAATAAAATAATAACATGAATTATAAATGAATTTTTATTTTATATTGCAACTATAATTTGGATGATAACAATAATCATATTTTTAAGCAGATTTTTTAAAATTTTATTTTGCGATAAAAAAATAATAAATGAAAATGATAAATTTTATTAATTAACTAGATGACCCGACAGACGTTGTCCTGTACCCATGACTGCAATTTTTTAATATAATATACTAATATTTACCGCTTACCTAAAAATAATAATTATTGTTTTTTAAATTACTCTTCACGCCAAAATGCATATGCATTTATAATATGAGCGATGTTATATATGTAGAACTGCATTAAATAAAATGATGAGTCTCAATTCCCACACTATATTGGAAATTGAAGTCGTTTAAACGGTATAACATGACCATAACCATTACATAACACTGGTACTTCATATTGGATTAAATTAATTTAATTTTTTATTAATCAAGATATCCAAAATTGCATCTTAAACTTTTCCTAATCGATATCGTAAGGACCGAATTGAATGTGTTCATCTTTGCTTTCTCATTTGTTGTTATAAACTGAAAATTTTACGAATTTGAAAAATATTATGGAAAGATTAGTAAAAGACATTATATATCAAAGAAAAAAAAACTATATTGAAAATTTAATATCCGAATCTTGTGTTGGCGCCCCCAACGTGCGCTCTTATTTTTCGCATGTATCGCATTAAAGGTAGAAACGGCCCTGATTAATACTTAATTTCATATTTTAAGTTAATTAATTTGTCATATTATGTTTATATGTGTATCATTCAATATGCCATACATATGCTGTATCTAATATTATTTTAATTTCTGGCACAACTCAGCTGCCTTTTGGCAATAATTTATTATAAATATTCTAATATTGTTTATGTTCATAAGTAAATTGAAATTTTTGGCAGATGATAGTTTTCATTTACAAACAATGACATGTCGTTTTTTGCAATTTTTTCTATTTATTTCTGCAATATTGCACATACATCCCAGTACTTTATAATCACATAAATCCTAGAAAATTTCCTTAACAAACTTCAGAAAGATTTATCAACATCCGTATAATCGTTTAGGAGAAGTATACAGTGAGTCCTTGTAATTTAATATCAACTTTAGATAATAGCAATAAAGCTCAAATTGATTCTCCGTTTTAGTTAGAAAACGTTTGTATGAGAAAAAGAAAAGGGCTGTTTTTAGGATTTCCCGGTGATTATTCGATTTTTTCTCGCCGTAAGAACCATCCTTGGACATCAACGAACATTTTAAAAAAAGAATTGGCCAAATTGGTCCATGCGTTGTTGAGTTATGCGCTTACCAACACATTTTGCGATCCATTTTTATATATAAGATATAAAATTTATTATAGTCCCAAACAATTGCGCTTAATGTTTTGTCAAAATGCATACTAAAACAAAGTTCATACTGACGTAAAATTTATCTGACAATTTTTATATAAAAAATTATATAATGGAGGATACGGCTGATCAAGGAAATCCGTAAGTATAATTAAATAAATACATACAAATTTATATTTAATTAATATTTAAAATTCAGATATCCTTTTGGAGTTAGAATAACGTACTTCTTTTACACATATTGGGCAACAATAATTGTTACAATATGCCCAATCATATTTATGCCGATTATGATCTGCAACAATTTTGAACCGGTAGGAAAACAATATTATTAACTATATTACTGATATAATTTAAAATTACCCAAATATTAATGTTTTTTCAGAAATTTAATTGTTTATATGTGCTGTGCGTAATGGCCACATGTTGGATAACAGAAGGAATTCCATTACCAGTTACTTCATTAATGCCTATATTCTTTTTTCCCCTGTTAGGAGTAATGGTAGATTATTAAAATTATCAACTGTTTTCATAGAGATATGATTCCACTGAATAATGTTTTTATTTTCAGAGTTCTTCTGAAACTTGCAGATGGTACTTTACAGATGCTGTGGCTTTATGTTTGGGAACAATGCTTATGGCAATAGCAATAGAATATTGCAATTTGCATAAAAGAGTTGCTTACGCCATCATGTCTCGAGTAGGATGTAGTCATCCAAAGTATAATTGATACTAATTAATAGTTATTTATCTATTTTGTCATAGGCCGTAATCAATAATAAATATATTGAATCAGGCTTTTGATAAGGATTCAGTGGGCATCCTGAATAAATTTCCTAATTTCCTAATTCTGGTTCTACTGATCTTTGAACCATCTTTTCATTTCCACGGGAACAGTTTGAAATATTTTTTCTGGTAGTTTCTATTTGTTAATAATATTTTACTATTTTCATTTAGATTACATGCAAGTTTTGCAGCAGTAACAACTTTCATCTCAATGTGGATAACAAACACTGCTACCACTGCCTTGATGTGCCCAATAGTTATGGCAATTCTTGTCGAACTGGAAAATGTAAGTTTATTTTTGATTTATTGGATATAAAATATAACTAGATTAACTTTATTTACAATAACAGCAAGGTGTAAGCAAGGTTTATATAAATAGAATTGCTACAGGGCCAGATGCCAATCTCGGAAAGCAGGATCTTCCTGATGAGTATGTCTTTTTTTATAAAATATATCAATAATTGCCTGATTGTGCTTACTTTTTATAACTATAATTTTTACAGTTATCATAATGATATCTAATATATAGCAGTTGTATTTTAAAAAATAATGTTTGTATTTTCAGTCCGATACCAACAAAATTGACTGTGAGTTATTTTTTGGTCATTGCCTTTTCCTCTACAGTTGGTGGTACGTCCACAATAATTGGCACAGGCACTAATATGATGTTGAAGGGTGCATACGAAACGTAAGTATATTAATAATAAATGTATAAGATATTAATTTATACCTAATTTATATTTATATAAGATAAAAGATAAATAGATCTGTAATTTATTTCCGAAATAGATTATATCCTGATAGCGATGTAAGCTTTGTGTACTGGATGATACTATTCCTGCCGCCTATGATAATCAATGCTGTTTTGATGGAATTGGGATTGCAGTTTATATTTTTTGGCTTATGGAGGTATATAATTGTGTATTAGGTGAATTATGTGCTTCATGACTCCTCCTATGATCATAATCTTATAAATTTTCCAGAAAAAACAGTGATGCTGCCAAGGCTATCCATATTGATGAGGACACAAGAAACTCAATAAAACAAATAATTAAACGAAAATATGCGGATCTGGGACCCATAACTTGGCACGAATGTATGATAATAAGCATTTTTTTGCTGATGATTTTACTTTTCTTTATAAGGCATCCAGACTTTATGCCTGGATATGTGAGGTTGTTCAACACACATTTGAATCGAAGAGAGTAAGTATATAAAAATTACAATCTATTAACAATGTCAATTTATTTTACATGACTTTTTGTATCAGACAGGCATTATATATAAGGGATTCTGCAGCAGTCATGTTGCTGTTTGTAATAATGTTTTTCATTCCGAAGACTTTGGATGTGCTGAATTTTTTCAAGAAAAGACCAAGTATACTATTGAATCTTTAGCATTGAATAATATTACTGAAAAATTAATGTAATTCTAGAAACTTTGCCTGAGGGTTCTGAAGATCCACTTGTTACTTGGAAGTTTTTGGCTGGAAGAATGCCATGGGGTTTTATTCTACTATTAGGTTACTGTGAATAGAAATCTGATGATTACCATATTGTATTTGTTTATAATATGTATCATTTATTAGGTAGCAGCTATGCTTTGGCCCAAGGCAGTTTAGTATCAGGAATGAACGATTACTTAGCAGAAAAGTTGAAGCATTTAGCTGCTGTGCCATTAGCACTTTTATTATTACTTGTATTAATTTTTATTAAAATATTAACCGAATTTATCTCAAACGTAGCTGTGGCGAGCATTACACTGCCTATTTTAAACACGATGGTAATAGACTTTTTATTAACATTTTATTGAGAACAATTATTTTAGTATTTTTATTTCAGAGCCAGAATTTGCAAGTTAATCCTTTGTATTTTATGTTGCCGGCTACTATTGTAGCTTCATATTGTTTCTTGATGCCAGTCGGAACACCGCCAAATACCATCCTTAGAACCACTTATCATATCAAACCTAGACAAATGGTAATAATAGACATTTTTAAAGATATATAATTTGTTGATAGTACAACTAATGAATTTATGTATTCATAACATTTTACCAGCTTAAGGGTGGTTTGTGGACAAGTTTTATAACACTTTTCATCACTTGGACAATGTTTCTATTTTACTCATCATTGATCTACAAAGATTTACTTTCTTTTCCCCGGTGGGCAGAAATTAAAGACGCAGAAAATGTGGAAGCTTTTCTTCTGTTTGTGCGAAATTTAATTGTACAGTCGAGACATTCAGGTAATACAGTTAATTATTGTAGTATTTATTATGTGGTGGATGTTTAAGAAGTATATAAATTTACACATAGATAAAATTAACTATATTTTCAGGTGGACTTCGAGGGGAAGCCTTCACGATAAATGATATTATTTACAACGAAACAGATTATAGTCTTTATGCATTAAACTGGGGCGACAATCTGAGTTTTGAAACTTCTTTGAGCTAGAAACTTGTATTTTTATAAATCTTATTAATTATAGAAAACATTCTTTTATCGTAAAAATATATTACGTGTATTAGTAAAAGTATATAAAAATTAATTTTAATAAAGTGACGATTACTGATTAGCAGATTTCATTTAAAAGCGGATGTTAATATATCAATATTAATAAATAAATTACAAAGCATAATTTATTATGGGTGCATTCGACTTGGACGCTTACGCGCTGTGAGCGCGCCGTGAGCGCGCTTTCATCGTTCGACTTGGCGCTGTGAGTGTGGCATAAGTACGCTCGTAGCATCATCGTAGGATGCTCGTAGCACATATTTTGCGCTCACACATGCTCACGCCACAGAGGTAGGGCAGCGTGAGCGTGAGCGTCAATTGTTTTTACTATCTGTCATTTCATTTATTTATTAATTGTCAAATTCTTTATAATCCCGCAAAAATGGCAAGCTGTATATCACAATTATTTTTTTAATATTAATATTGATATTAATTAATTTTAAATTTAATTAATTTTATATAATTTTAAATTGTAATTTTAATATTACTATTAATTAAGCATAAGCTAACTAAATTTCATTTATTTATTAATTGTTAAATTCTTTATAATCCCGCAAAAATGCCAAGTTGTATATCACATTTATTTTTTAATATTAATATTAATATTAAATAATTTTAAATTTTAATTTTAATATTACTATTAATTAAGCATAAGCTAACCAAATTTCATTTATTCATTAATTGTTAAATTTTTTATAATCCCGCAAAAATGCCAAGTTGTATATCACATTTATTTTTTAATATTAATATTAATATTAATTTTAATTAATTTTAAATTTAATTAATTTTAAATAATTTTAAATTTTAATTTTAATATTAATATGAATTAAGCATAAGCAAACCAAATTTCATTTATTTATTAATTGTTAAATTGTTTATAATCCCGCTGAATGATCCAGAAAGTAATAAAATTTACACAATTACCGTTACCGTCAGTTGCCGCCATTTTGATGCTTATTGACGCTCACAGTATCCAAAACGAACGGAATTTAGTTATCGATTCTGAGCGCTTATCGGCCAAGTCGAACGCTAAAAATTCGTGCTTATAAGCGTGAGCGCTCACAGCGCGTAAGCGTCCAAGTCGAACGCACCCTATATAATATATATAAATGTACGTGTCAAACGAACGTAAAAACTATCGTATTAAGGATTATTATATTGTCTAGGATTAAGGATCCAGGTAATTATATGATCAATGAACTCGTCAATATGAGCAATTGGTACTACTGTGGTACTGTGTGATTAATCCTAGACAATATTAGAATACCCCGTATTCATATAGACGCTTCTCTCGCCCGATTTTTACGTTCAGAAGGAATACTTAGAGGGTCCTCCGCTCGACGTGGTGGCGCTGCTTTTGGCACTCAAATTAATGGCGCAAAATTTGAAATGAAAATTAATGAATTTTAATACACGGGTATTTGAAACTAAATTCGGTATTACAATCCTATTATGTTTTGTAATGATACAATAATAACAAAAATATACTAGATAATATTATATTATAATAAATATACAATCAAATCGAAATATAAATCGACAAATACACTGCAATACACCGGTTTATATATAATAGATATCACATCTAATCTACTGGAATAACTTCTACACTTTTTTCTACTTATTAATATAAATATTCAGTGAAATTTAGTGAATAATACATTATAGTGTTAGTTCATTACATCGTCTGTCATTCTTAACTCTCATTAACTAGTAATCATCCCGTGCAAAATTTGACATTCTTAAGCAATTCATTTTTCCCAAGTATATTCAGATCCGCGTGAAGTGGTAATCCAATATTAAACAGCTGGAACAGCTTTTTATTTGTGTATTATGTGTTTCTTGTAGAAGCGTATATTTGATTTCTTACACAATTTCCTAGAACTGATCTCTTTCCTTAAAGTGTATTATGATTAGACTAATATGTCAATGCACTACGTAGTATTGTAGTAATTATGTCCTCCATATGAGTTTGAAGCTGTTCTATTCATATTGTCAAAGGGCTATGCATTTGAGAGCAATTCCTGATGAAATCTTTATGAACAAATATACAAACACAAACGAAGAAGAATCGCCATTTTGTAAACTTATACAAAAATAACACTGACGTTTCTTAGTAACCAATATAAAACATTTGAAAATACTTTTTCATCGGCTCACTAGCGCCAAATCTGCGACTACAAATGGACCCCTAAGTATTCCTTCTGAACGAGGATTTTGTTCTAAGTGAAAAGGCCCTGGTGATTAATTATCATAAAGACATATGTCAAAGAAGTGAACAATACGAAATAATTTAGATTCAATTAAATATATTATTGGCTTTCAATCGATTAAGCCAAAAATAACATGTTAATCGTGCCCCAAAAAACTCTGCGTGAAAATAACCTGTTAATTGTAAGAAATTAAATGTCAGAAATCAGCATGTGCCACAAATTCCAATATATAATTGATAAAGCAGCAGATTCTATGTATTTTGAGTGAACATTTGGAAAAAATATTTATAAATAAAGATGATAGAATCATGCCCTAAAAGGCATATGTTATTGGGCATAACATCTTTAGCCGTGTACGTACTGTTAATTAATATGTAATTAAATACACACATTATGACATATGTAATTTTTCTTATAATAGATTGACAATAGTTGTTCTAATTGTGGAATCTCGATGGACACCACCACGAACTAAACAATTTCCAATAGAAAACAATTCTACATGCTGGTTAAAAGAGGATTATGAAGTTATACAAGACTGCCATCCATGCACAGGTACGCGTAGATTAAAACTGTAATTCCATAATTTATAGTGCAGAAAATAATTAGGACTACACTTCTTGTTTATAGAATTGGAAATAAAGAGTAGATCTATAGGAGTTTGCATTCACACTCATAATAAAGAACTCCTTCGCTGTGCAAGTGGTGAAACTGTTACCAGAAGTTGCGATAGAGTAGCTTGGCTGGACGAAAGGAATTTCTGGGCATTTGAAGCTTTGATGTTCGTTTCTGCATTTATAACTTGTTTAATTTCAAGTTCAAGGCGGCATACTTTAGATCGAAGAGCATTACAGAGGGTTCAGAGACAATTAGCACAAAGTGTTTAATTTAAATATTTGGTTGAAAATATATTTTGTAATAAAAATATATTTTTTTAACAATGGCCAAACTTTATATTCAAGTTTTTGTTCAACAACAGGAACATGAGTGTTTTAGCTATCATGTCTCTTTGGAATCGGTGATTACACTGTTCACTTACAAATATTGCAATTCCAAGATATTGTTATATTTTGTCAAGTCCTATAGCACTGCCCCAACATTCAGTTTTGGAATAGACTTACTACAATTTAATTTTAATTGGCTTAATGAAACTAATTTAGAACCAATTGTTAAATCATGTGCCTTGCCAATAATTTTGATTGGTTCGAATGCTGTTGTGGCTGGTTTATGTAGTGTGTCCAGAAAAATAGTTATGTTGTCACAACAAACATGTGAACAAGAAAATATAGCAAAATTGTTGGGATTCAAAAATGCATGTCTTATGTCTCCTAATGAAGCATCCATGTGGACTAAATTTTGTGAAATTGATATGATAAGTGCATTAAAATCAGTAATTCAATCAATTGGTTGTAATTTTAACAATGGATCGTTTTCAATTCCAAAAGATGTAGCTAGATTTGAGCATCATTTAGGGCAACCTGTAAGGCTTCATAATATATATAAGGTTGCCCAAGATTTATTGAAGGACAAAAAAATTACATCAGAAACAGTTCCAAGGAATCTGACAAGTGACTCAGGCGCAAAAGTTGATCAATTTCCATTAACTTATAAGTATGCAGAGGGAATAGAAATGACTCTTTCGGATGTAATCATATTCCCATATTTTTATATTCTATTCCACTATGTAAGTTTGCAAATATTGTCTGAGAAAATGCCTCTGATTATTAATTGGTATAAACAAATTTCATTGGAGAATGATGGATCTTTGATGAAATCTATAAAATTTCTGCATATTCCACAAATTCCATGTGAACCCAGTGCAACTTTTCTTCCTTCTGTTGAAGGGTACAGTTTATATAAAAGTAATCCAAAGCACTACAAATGTAGAAATAAAAATTATACTAAGCAGAACGATATAGATAATGTATTAAAACTCCTTGCAAACGTACCATTAGATATTAAGAAATCTGTAAAACGATCTCTTTATACAAAGAACTTGGATTGGAATTCTCTTCCATTCGATGCACTTCCTGAGGGTGGACATCTGCCAGAAAAGAGACGGGTGCGTAAATTTCAGCAGCTAGAAAACCTTGCAAAAGCGGCTATTGAAATTGCCAAGCCTGGTGATCATATTATTGATTTTTGTAGTGGAAGTGGTCATTTAGGTATAATAATAGCCTTCATGCTGCCTCAATGTCATATCTCTCTTTTAGAAAATAAAGAAGAGTCTATGAACAGAGCAAAGTCAAGAGTATCTAAACTTGGCTTAAATAATGTTTCATTTTTTCAGTGCAATTTAGACTTTTTTAAAGGAGAATTCCAAATAGGAGTCTCCTTACATGCATGTGGAGTTGCTACAGATTTAGTAATGCAACATTGCATAGAAAGAGAGGCCAAATTTATATGTTGCCCTTGTTGTTATGGAAGTGTTCATCAATGTCATCATTTAGAATATCCAAGAAGTAAGGTTTACAAGGAGCATCTTAAACTACATGAGTATTTAATTTTAGGTCATGGCGCAGATCAAACTCATGATGCTGAGAATGCTAAAACTGCGCAAGGTGAAATATGTATGGATTTTATAGATAAAGATAGAATATTATATGCTCAGGAGTTCGGGTACAATGTTATTCTTCAGAAACTTGATCCACCTACTTGTACACCAAAAAATAATTTACTGATTGGCTTAAAGCAAATGTTGGAGTAATTGGCTATAATGTGATATTAAAGCTTGCAGAGTGTCAATAATTTTAAAAAAGAGGAATGATAGTTTCTGGAATAACATACTAAATTTAATATGTAGCAGAAAATATTTTTAGTAACAGGACATAAATTTTTAAAATATTTGGATTTTATAAAATTGTTTGTATGTATTTTGAAAATTCTAAAATGCTATATTGAAATACAGAACAAAGATGAAAATTGTTTATATTTTGGTATAGCTAGTATATTCTAGAGTAGACGCGAAAATAATGCGTTAATAACTAGTAAATACCAGATTTCTGTAAATGTATTATTTACTCACATTTAAAATCAACTCCTTCATTCAAATTCGTGCCATCATGTCTAAGTTGCCTAACGTCCTAACTTCTTGTTCTGGCGCTAACTTCACGAATGTCTATCAGCATGCGTTTGACAGATGATCATATTTGTTGATAGTTGCTCTTAATAAATGGTTCCTAACGGCAACGAAATATATAAAATTATTAACTATGTCAAATCCTATTGTTCCTGGATATGACATTGTGAATAAAATTGGAAGTGGTAGTTACTCAAACGTATATAAAGGATTTAAACAAGTATGTATAACAATAATAATAAAAAAATGTTATGATATGCACTTAAATTTACCATATCTAATATCTAATTAAAAGGGTAAAGAAAAAGTAAAGAAACCAGTAGCTATTAAATGCATCTTGAAAGGTAATCTTTCTGGATCTGCTGTGGATAATATCATATCAGAAATAAAACTTCTCAAAACATTAAAACATGAACATATTGTAGAAATGATAGACTTTCTTTGGGATGAAAAGTAAGTCATAAATAATAAATGTAGTTTTCATTACTAAGTAATAAACCTGATAAAATTTCTGTACAAATTTAAATTATCGGTCATCTTTTTATAATTCATCTTATAATCTTTTCAGACATATTTTTATAATTATGGAATATTGTACAGCTGGTGATTTATCATCTTATATTAAAAAGCAAACTTGTTTACCCGAACTATATTGCAAAATATTTCTACAACAATTGGCATTAGCCTTAAAATATATGCAGGAACATAATATTTGTCATTTGGATTTGAAGCCCCAAAATTTGCTTCTTACTAATAATCCCAATTTGACATTAAAAGTGGCTGACTTTGGGTGAGATTATGGAAAATAAAATTATCAATATTTTATTTATGTATTGTAAACATTCTTATTTATATAACTTGCTTTTGTGAAGAACATCTTGATTTACATTCTTCAACAAGTTTTTAAGATATTAATTTATAATTTGAGTTATAATATTAAGCAGTTAATTCATGGTACAGTTTTGCAGTGCATACATTACCTGATAAAGAAATGACATCAGTGAGAGGTTCACCTCTATATATGGCTCCTGAAGTTATACTTAAAGGCAGATATGATGCGAAAGCAGATTTGTGGTCCGTCGGAGTTGTTCTTTATGAATGCCTATTTGGTAAAGCTCCTTACTCTTCACAAACTGTAAAAGAGCTTCTTACAAAAATAAAAAACCAAACTCCAATAGATGTATGTTTATTAAATTAATATTTGTGGTCACTCACTTAAGTAAACTGCAAATTTATTATAGTCAAACTTTATACTATCTCAGACTGATTCCTCATAAATTTTGAACAGTTACCTGCAAATTCTAAAGTTTCTCCAGAATGCAAAGATTTGTTAAAAAGGTTATTGCAATCTGATCCTAGTAAAAGAATTACATATGAAGCATTTTTTGCACATGAGTTTCTGGATTTGAAGCATATGCCTACTGAAGAGAATTATAGGAAAGCTATAAAAATTGTAGAAGAGGCTATTGAAGCAGATAAACAGCAAGACATTGAACAGGCTGTGTTTTTATATAGTGAAGCTTTAAGTTATTTGATACCATTTTTAATAGGTATTCCATATTATATAATTATTTATTTAGTTACCTAAATTGGAAGCTATTCTCGAGTTTTAAGGTTGTTTTTATTAAATTCAGCTGAACCTGATAGTGACAGAAAACTGAAAATTAGAAACAATGTTCATGAATATATTCAAAGAGCAGAACTTTTAAAAAATATTTTAAAGAAAAGTAAACCCAACTTATCTGAACCTTCTACTTCATTAAAAGAACTATCTGATCAGAAACAGATTAAAATATCAAGCATACAAAAAGCACTATCACCTTCTGAAGATTTTAAAATATTGCGTAAGTTATTGCTGAGTAAAAAGTTGCATTTAATTAAAGTGTACGCATTAATTCAATCAAAAAGTAGATCTCTTTCAAAATGAATTATTTGTAATTTAGGTCAGCTTTGCAGCAAAAACAGTACATTACTCTCGGCACTAGATCAGGGCAGGACAGGGGAGTTGTATATTGCTGAAGGTTCTTACAACAACGCTTTAGAAACTCTGCAAGGAGCATTGAGTCAACTTATGCCTATTCTTATAAAAGAGCCTGCTGGAGACCGGAAGATCCTTTTACATAACCAGGTCAAAACCTACCAAATCAACTAATAATACTATTGACTTATAATCTACAATATAAATAATAAATGTGTAGGTAGAGCAATGGATGAAAGCAGCTGAACATTTGAAAGAACTTTTAGCAGCAACCAGTTTAAAAGAATCAAATCCTGTAAAAGATAATTGCTTCTTACAGTAATGAAGAAATAACAATGATAATTATTTTATGCATGAAAATGGCACCATCAGTGATATTCTGTTGTTTGTTTTTAAGGCATTATTTATTTTTATAAGATATGTCATTATATATAAATATGTTAATTTTATATACATGTTAAATTTTAGGAATACAATTTTTAAAACTATTTTTTTTATTCTAAAGCATTCAAATAGTTGAATATAAATCAAGTAAATGCAATCACTTGCAGTTTATAATATAAATCGTCATAAGAGTTGCAGATGAATATTTTTTGGCGCGGAAATTCAAACCTATGAGTCAATTCGAACAGGAACAGAAGGCGCGCTTCTCACAGGATCACACAAAGAATAATTGTTTAATATAATTTAGTGTACAAAATTGTTGTAAAAATGTAATTTTATTAACTTTACCTTGATTGCTAAGTATTATTTTCTTGTAATTTTAAAAATATATGCAAAGTGGATTGAAGAAGGATTTGACTGTATTTAAAAAGATTTTATTTGCGCGCCAAATAAACAAGATCATATCCTTGAATTTCATAAAGGTAAGATAAAATATCTTT